GGGGCTGATGGGTCTTACTGCAGACGGATGCATGAAGGCGGGCGGCTATGTCAAAGGGTATATTACTTCCTTCCTCGATGAATTTGAAAAGCGGCATGAAGAAATTAGTGAACTTCACGTCACCCACAGCATGCATGAACGTAAGTTAAAAATGTTCGAAAATGCCGATGCCTTTGTTGCGATGCCGGGAGGGCTTGGAACACTGGATGAAATGTTTGAAGTGATGACATGGAAGCAAATTGGGCTTCATAAAAAGAATATTGTCTTTTGGAATCTTGATGGCTATTGGTCTCCTCTCATAGAAAACCTCCTACCTAACTTAATTCAGGAAGGCTTTGTTCGAGAAGAAGATCTGAATCTCTACGCCGTTGCAGACACATTGGATGATGTGATTCAAGCGCTACACGCACCACCCGAAGGAGCCGTAGATTTTGTGGCCAAGTGGGGGTAAAAACGACTTTCCCCTCAATGCCTCCCCTAGAGGAGGCTTGATGTGCCTTCAAAACCATCGCGTAAATCCCCTCGTAAGGCGAACTCAGCCCCGCTGAGCACAAGCAATAACCCCCAGAGCCTTTTATGAAAGGTAACAATTCTGGGAAATTGTATCCACAAGGAAAGACCATATGATTTTATGCACAGTAGTCGCGATAAAAAAACGCGCCGATTAAAAAAACGACGCGCTTTTACAAAAGCAAATTTCTTTAAGCCGTGCTAGGCTTTGGACGATATAGAGGTTGTAGCAGTACAAGAATCGCCGCTGCACCAATATTCGGAGCTGCCACCATAACCGCAACAGAAAGCATCGAACCATCGTAGAAATAACCCGCAAGGCCAATAGCACCTCCTCCGACCAGCATACGAAATGCCATGACAAGGGCAGATCCAACACCGATTAAATGGGGAGGTAGATCCAGGGAAAGCGCCGTTGCAGTTCCAAAGCACAAAGCAATTCCCATGGACAACATAAACATAACAACTGTAAACCAAAAGGGAGCCATTTCCTGCAGCCCAACATACAATAACACAGAGCCAAAAAATGCAGACATCAAGGATCCAAAGAAAAGGCTCTTCATCATTCCCAACCACGCATTAATCTTCCCTGTAAAAAAACTCACCACAGAAAAAGAAAAGATGACGGCTGCTTGGTGTAAAGTTAACTCTCCCAGATCCATTCCTCGATCAGTCACGTACAAAAAAGGAAGGCTTGCAACGAAACTAAAGTATCCT